TTATAGATGTGTTCAACAAACTTATTTGCAAAATTCAAAGGTACGTTTTGATCTGGAGCTTTGCTGTTTCTCACTGATCCGTACAGGTAGGAAGACGCTTTGTGAGCCTAGTTGCTTCCCTTTCTTTGAAACAATGTGCCCTGCTTTCTTATAACGCTATTGCATCTGGTGGTGAACTCCCACCATTGAAGTCAACGAAGACAAAAACAACACTTTGAGGATCTAATCACTCTCATACCTGCACCTAAGCCTTTTACAGTACGCTCGTCTGCTTGGACATTGTGCTGGCCTTTCAGCGGTATCCCCTATTGTATTTCCAAAAGCACTATCTGGCCAACGTGCGTCAGTGAAGAGTTAATGGGCAAAGGAATGAAGGCAGTGAGGGCATCATATACTGTAAAGCGGGTTTTATTTCGCCATACTGTTAGTTTAGGAGTCTTGTGACAACATCGTAGTCTTGTAAGTTATTCACTGATAAACATGTGCTACGATAAATGGTGCTTAAGAAAATAAACTTGACTAAACATTTGACTAAAAATGTCTGAAATCCTCCACGCATGTGAACCTCTTAGTCTTTCTAAGACAGAAAACTGCAGATTTGCGGGAAATTCCTTATTTGTTTTGATATTATCCTTTCTGAAAGTGGTAACAGGATGTGAGCGTGTGTGGGAACTGAGAGAACTGTGGAATAACGCAGGCTAATGTTTCTAGGTGGGGGTTGTACAATCCACAATCATCTGTAGCTGGGCAGCATTTATATCTTCAAATTTGAAGAGACAACATCTTTTCAAAATTGAAGTTGTTTCACTAGTTACAATAAGTTACATGGAAGATAACGTCTCTTTATGTGGCATAGAATTAATCGCAATTTTGTAAAAGCAGCCGAACGTGCCGAGGATACTTTAAAATAGCTATTTTAAAATAACTACCAGTGTTGTGATTTCCCAGGCCGTATTACTGATGTTACAAAATATAAATAATAAATTCAGCTATAATAGAGATTGATCTTCGGACGGGACGGAACGGGGAACGTTTGCATATAAAATTATTGATTTTATTCCCAATTATCCCATTCAGGTAAAGGTGAGTCCTCTCGTCAGCAAAATAGTTAAAAGTTACTAGGGATTAGAATGTTCAAGGGGAGAGAGGGAAGTTGATAAATTGGTCTTCAACTTTTAAGTCATATACATGAGTTTTCAAAGCCATCCTTGCAGACGGATTAATGCAGATCCTTTGTTATTATTTTATGGGGCATGAGATTGGAAATGTATGCACTGCAGAAACAGACTGATGGACATAAATCAAACGCTGATTTCTAGTCATATCACCCCTTTAAAACGCCTGGAAAGCCTTTCGAGTCGAAAGGGAAAGGAAATAACCTGTAATTCTCCATATAGAAACAGGCGGATGCTTCACATGAATCTGCAAGTCGTCTTTGTAATGTAGCATTGATGTCACAAGCGCATTCTTTTTAAAACAAAAACGCACCGTATATGTGTAAAACAGGGAGGCCGATGAGATGTCGGCGAGAGCGCAGAGCAGTCCGCCAGAACACAAGATTTTGCCTTTTCCCAACTCCAGCATTCAAATCACATCGCTAATTCATGAGTAGTCATACGCAAGGCATTCCGCCGAACATCACATAATCTAAACAGTTAGAGCAATATGCACAAAAAAGAGTCAAACTAATCCGCAAAACACCAGTTAGGCGCAGTACGTTTATTTCAGAGTAAAATTAATTAGTACTATGGGTAACAGACATTTAAACTATTTAAATAAATGAGCTGCAGTATTGTAATACAAGAATAGGCAATTGGTCTTAAGCCTTAATCTTGCAAAAGAAGACGCAGAGAAAAGATACCGGAATCAGTTATTTTTCTCTTGATAACAACACCTTTCCCAAAATGGGAGATGGTTTTTTTTTCTAACAGATCAAAATATAGCAATGTGCACGTTCCTACCGTAAGTTTTAAATGCTGAAAACATGCACAGATTTCTGTCAATTTTCCTATCATTACAGTTGGGGATACTCTCTTCTCAGGTGTAACGGACTGGCGCTCTGAGATAAATAGCAAATCCTTCGCCCTACAGGTTTGCTGCGTGGATCTGCCTGGGGCTCTCTCTCCCGCTTTCTCTTCCCTCACCCCCACCCCCCCACCCCTCGACACACACACACACACACACACACACACACATCTATCTTCGCACATTCTGTTTCTCTCTCTACTTGAAGGGGGGGGGGGCTCATGCGCAAAATTACGCATTCTTCTCTCATTTGTTCCTTGTATCAATCAAAAAGTTGGCTATTTATAGGCTACAGAACATGGGATGGTAATAGTGATCTCCCCCTCTCTGTCTGTCCTGAAGTTGTTAAGTGGTCAGGTTGAGTGCAGCTATTTGGCCATTTGCTATTGCTGAGTCCAGGAGGAAGGTCCCAAGCTGTGATTAACTCAATCTCACTGCAGCCACTAACCATGTGAGTACCTAAATCATTACATCTGGGCTCCAAATATCATATTGTTCCATATGCCTTTCACAATATGTATATGGTGAAGCTATTTTCCTGCATTTTTGTAGATGCGCCTTAAAGCTCAATATGTAGCGAATCTATTACCGCGTCTTACTATTTTGATAAATGTGTCACCTAGCAATTTTTCACTTGGAGGAAGCAAGATAATGCATCTTTTATAGATGGAAGGCATGTTAAATGTCTCTGTATCCGCCGTGCTCTCTAGATAGGATATGATGAAGGTTGTTGTTATGTGAAATTGCAGTGGAATTACTCAATATTCGATTTTTTTTATTTCTTGTTGGTAAAAGCAGTAAAATTGTTGTGTGCATTGTGAGGGAGGTCATCCTTCAGAATTAAATTTGCGAAGAAACAGAATGGGATGAGAATTTGCAGTTTTATAAATTACGTATTTGTCGCCATCACGGTGGATGTATTCACGGACAGTGGTTACAGATTGCTACGTGACAAATAAATACATCTACTCTGTAAAGCTGATTTCGATGTACTAAATCAAGTGCAGGAATGCAACTTATGCTACTGAGGTACTATCGAACAGTAATGTAAGACGTTTCTTGCTGCTTGAACGCAATCTGCAACCTCTGTTCGCGCATTTGTAAACTGCAAAGGTGAATTCAATTCACGTGTTTCATTACCCGTCTCATCTACCAAACATCCCCAAATTCTAAATTGAGCCCCCCGATTATTTTCAAAGTTCCAAAGCGAGCAATATAGGTTAGATCGCCGCGACAAGTTAAAGACCAGTAATTAGTGGTCGCGATGTATGACCTTTTTTTACGATGAATTGCTTTTTTTTTGGCAATGATTATTACTACGGAAAGTTGAAACGTAAATGGTTTGAAAACTACTCAAGGCCAGGTCACAAACTCTTCTGAGCGGACCGCACAAAACAATAGCTAAAGCGTTCAAACTTAGTTTTAGTCGCGACTTCAGTGATTACACGGACTGCTCCCATGGGCTACTTTAAATCGGCGTTTGCCGCTATTTCGGCTATATGCGCTGCGTCCTGGTTAATACAAAATAAACATGGGCATGAGAGTAAACTGAACCACGCCGTCGCTGATAAGTCACTGATAAGAGGGATAGCTCTGCTAAATAACGCATGACTGATTGACGCCCTTCTAAGATCATTTTGATAACAATCACTTTCTTCCTAAGATCAGCTTTCTGATACCCAGCATCTATCATTGTTCGCGCAATGGCATTCCTGATTTAAACACACACACACACACAAACACACACACAATCACAAGATCAGGATTTGCCTTCTTCAAAATAAAATCAAGCTGCCAGTCTCTGACTGTACCTGGACATTAGATACCAGATGAAGTGAGAACTCTGTCAACCAATATGTAGGTGAGTTGTTTTTTTTTGTTTTTTTTAAATTGACATATTGATCGGCGAACCGCTTCTAGGATTAATCATGGTTTCTTTTTTTGTTGTTGTTGTAAAAATAAAGACGGAAAACGCTGCAACTGCACGTTTGTTATCACCCCTGGAGCACCGCCAGTGCCGGGAGATTGTGAATTTGCTCCCGTCTGTTGCAACTTGTCATTGATAAAACAAGCCGGGGATGACGCTCTGGGTCACGCTGAGTACGGACGGGCGCATTGCCGAGCGGGTGTGTGCCGATCACATGGCCGCTCTGCCATACGGCTCTTCAATCCACAAAGCACAATATCACCGCTTTAAATCACACAGGCATTGAGGGCCCGCCGAAATCCCGACCCCCGCTGGCCGGCAAATCAAGAGCCGCCGGCCCCCCTCCTCACCCACACAACACCCCCCTCCCCCCTTTAGACTCCTAGAGTTACCGGTTCCCAGGAAAGGGAGGCGTGTGTGTTGTAAAGAGGGTTGCAGCGCTTCCGAACCCCGTGGACATTAAAGCGAAAGTAGCCGGCTTCCATTTACTTTAAACTACCACATAAACCCCGGCACCAGCTCTCGATCTGATAGGGAGGTTGTCCAAGGTAATCGTAAATCAGTCACATATTTGCTAAAACGTGCAGTTTTTTCTGACAGTCTCCGATTGCGATTTTATTAAAGCGCCTGTGAAGCGGCTGATATTGAGCTGAGGGTTACCCTTGCAGAAGGTTGCAACTGTGCAGCGACCTCAGCTTTTAAAGTTCCTTCTATTCTTTCCTAGAGCAGCCTTGGTCGCTGCAACAAGAGGGGGGCGATGATGTAGAATGATCATTTGCAGGTCTTGTCCTGGAAATAGATGATAGGTTTGACAGCTGATCCACTGTAGGCCTGGAGATCCTGGCGCGTCAGTTGCATTTTTTTTGCTTGCTTGGTTCAGTTTTGTTGTGACCACATGGGGTTGGTGGTAGGAAGCACGTTACGTGCTGGAGATCGTTAGTTCCTGACCATATACAGTTTGTGTGTGAGTGAGAGAGAGAGACAGAGAGGGGTTATATACGTGGTGTGTTAGAAAGATGTGTACTGAAAAAAGAAAACAAGTGTATGTGTCTGTGTGTGTGTGAGAGAGAGAGAGAGAGAGAGTGCGAGAGAAGAGAGTCTGTGTGAGAGGGAGAAAGTCACATTGAATGCTGGGCCGGCTGCCGCAGTATCTCGGCGAGAAACAACACGATATCCTGCTGTAGTCCAAGAGATTTAGTGGCAGTAAAGCGGCGATAGCCGAGGAAACTAAGCCATGCAGGTTAACTTACGGCCTTAAACCGGCAACGTGTAACTTGTAAGCTGCAGCAAGACCCACGCCAGTATGGATCGCGAGTGGTTTTAGCCAAGTTGTTGTCAGTGAGGAGAATACGCTCCTGTTATACTAGAGGCCCATTGCTTCTCAGGACGTTGCACCAGACAGTACACAATGAAAGCTCCTAATGCAGTGCCCACGTAATAGATTGATTGCAGATTTAACTCAGACTGAACTACTGCAATAATTACAGGCGATGTATGCCATTGCCAGATTGTTTAATTATATATTAACACACCTTTGAGGAATACACATCTGGGGTGCAGGCCTATCAACCTGTAAGCTATCTGTGTGATGCAACGTTAAAGCTATAAGTTGAAAACAAAACCTACACTTCAAATTGGGTCAGGTTTCTTGTTTACGTTGAAACAGTTTCTTGATTTGGTACGATCACATGAAAGTTGTTGAACTCGCCCTCCACTTAAACCCTCGTACTGGCACTCTTGAAATTTGATATCATTGCTTTTTAGTGTTTATAGTGACGCAGAGTCCCTGACAGTCAGATCTTCCAAATCAAGGACTCTCTGGCTTACCCACGTTGTACTGCTGCTCTTACTTCTTCCCTACTTAAATTCAAGATCTTTCTTCGCCTTTTGAGACCCGTCCTGTTTCTCATTTCTGCCTTTTTACATATGTGTCCTCTATGCTGTGTTAGGTGTTTTACAACTCTTTAAGCAAGTTGCAGGATTAGTTTGGTTAGGGTTAGCTTATTTGCTCTTTCATTCAAAGGTGTTACCAGCCAGCACTCTCGCTGTTAATTCCGTCACTGAGAGGATCCAACACTGGTAAGTTTTATGGTGGAACACTTCAAATAGAGAAAAAAGTCTTTCAATCATATATATTTCTCCTTACTGTCATCTCATGTAACAACATATATCGGGACCATCTTCTGTTTGTGGGAATAGAAGTTGATAGTGTTGTCAGGGAAACGGTTGCAGTGTTATTTATTTAATTCGTTTTGTAACTATTCTTGTTTTTTGTTTGCATGTATGAGAATAATAAGACAATTAGCATGCATTGGTCCATATATTCATTCTACCTACTTGTTTCATTCAGATAGAGTTGATGGTATTACCATGACATGCTTAATGATCATCTCATTGTTTTTACTTATAAGTGGAGTATCTACTTGGTTTAACCTAGTTACCATGTTATGTTCCCATTATGCAGTGTCTGGAATAGTATCTATATGGAGGGTTAAAACACTGGCAACATATCTCAGTACAGATCTTAAGCTTGGCCTATAATTAATAACATACAATGCCAGCAGTCAGCTGATCAAATGCCCTCTCCTTGGCAACGCAGGTTGGTAGATCCGTTGTGCTTTCTGAGTAATTCTTGCTTTGGATCCAAAATCTGCACTTGCTTTAACTAGTGATTGTGAAATGGTAACCATAGCTTCCAAGAGCTTTGAACAAAAACTATTGAATTCATTTTTGTGAACCTTTCAATGGAAAAGGCACACAGAACAGTCAAACATTGTTGGGTGTAAAATAATGTTTTAACTATTTATTGTAACACTGTAACTGTTGTGGTATTGGATGTTTTGTGCAAATTCAAAACGAATATCCCGAGAATTATGACTCACAAGTGACCTGTCACAGAGTTTCCTGCATCATTTCCTGCTTTCAAAATAAATCTCGCAAAATATCATTCAATATGCATATGGGTGTTTAGAAAATTCAATTATTGAAAATGCAGTACTGGTAGCAGAATAGATACCAATTTTAGATAAGGTGACCATGTAGCAGATTAAAATATAAACTCATCAATTCCTTAATTTCTCAGTGTTCTGATTTCTATATCTTATTAAGACTTTTTGCTTGAATGCTGATGTCACTAATCATTAGTACCACTATTAAGCTTTATGATATCATGATATATTGTAAGATGTGCAAAATATGATTTGTTGGAATTTAGGCACATTTCATGCTTTTTTTTAGAACAAAGAAGTGTTAGGAACTTCAGATATAAATGTAGGTGATAAATAATTGAACATGCAAAATCATTTGATGTCCCTTAATTTAGCTACTGGGTTGGATGGTTTGACATGAAGTTTAGACAATAGTGTGCATTATCTGTTGAAGGCTAGAGGACACTTTGCTTACTTGGCAGCTAAGCTGATGCCTGCCAGGTGAAGGAAATCCATTTGCAAATGAAGGTACTTTGTAACCAAGATCGGTGTCTGAGGAATATTGTTTTATTTGGAAAAATAAAATTGCTTACAAATTGTGCCTATTGAAGGTGCGTGTTTTGCATTCACATATCAGGTAATGCATTTCTAATGTTTCTCCCCCTATACTCCACCCTAGCAGCTGGGAAATCTTGACTTCATTAGACTGAACATGTTTGCCTCAGGCTCTTTGAAGTAATTGAGTTGTAACTCAGGTTAGATTTTAAGGGTTTGAATTGTTATCTTAGGTTTTATAGTTAGATGGTCTAGTTAAATTTTAGGTTCCTGATTAAATGTGAGGCTACAAACTGGGGTCAGTGCATTGTTTTTAAGGTTTACATTCCGTGACTCGACTGAATGTTCTGGTTGTTCTTTTGGGGTTATGGTTTGGAGTTTGATGCTTCGGGTCTTTCAATGGCTGAACAAAATTTTAGAGAAAAATATGCAAATGACATACACACCGGGACAAGTGGATTTTAAAATGCTGCAAACTTCATGAAACATGGTTACCTTAATTATTTTTTATCTGGAGAGGATGGACTCTGTGGCATTTTTGTTATTGTGATCTAATTTTATTGCTAGTGCATTTTGTTTGCCTGGAAAGTATGTGTCCTAAGTACTATACTATAGTTGTTAGACTGTACACTGCAGTACAACCTAGCAATTAAAATGGCAGTCTTTAAGTTGTGCACTGACAGCAACTCTTCCTGATTTTGTAGGATGACAAAGATCTTGATGGATTTTTATCAGCGGCCTCAAGGAAGCAAATGTATAGTTATTATGTTGGCTGCTGTCTCACTTCTGTTATTCCTGGTTGTAGTTTTTCCAAGAATGGGTTCTGAAATATTTCTTTGTGTTTAGCATCACAGTACAACTTTGCTTTTTTTTTAGTGGATGTGAGCTTTGGACAAATGTCAGCACATCTGAAAGTTGACTTAATAACATGCTATGTTGATCAGTCAAGTGATGCTGGATTCCTAGATTATGAAGTCCATGATAAGGATAGTTCCATAACACCTACCCATTCTTGCATGAAGAAAACAAACATAGTCCAGATACTAAAAAGGTATACTGCATTTTTTATTCTAGTTCCCATGTACTCACCTTTGTTTTCTCACAGAAGGCTGTTTGATACTTCATAGTTTATTTTAGTAGAATGCAGAATTAACTAATTTAACAATGATTCCGATATCAGTGCTTTTCATGACTGTCAGAAGGAACCCTCTTTAAGCAGATGAGTCAGTTATGACCTTCATTACTCTTCATCCCTCAATTTTCAGTAAATTGTACAAATATATCAAATTGGAATGGTATGTAGAATGGCATAGCCTTTATTTTGGATTTGGATGGATGTGTGCTTTTTGCACAGACTCAACATCTCCATTTCTCACATCAGGCATTCTTTTGCCTTTGAGTGAATGGAAAATTCAGTGCCACATTATGGATAGTTTTCTGTCTGACTGATGTTTTCGACAAATCAAATCCATTTCACTTGGGGCTTTTCCGAGTTGTTAAGCAGGTCATCTGCCTCACTTCTTTGGATTCATTTCAAATTCATGCCCAAGAAGCAAAAAGATGGTGTTCTTAATCTCCTGTCATACTCAATCATCTGTAATGGGTCTTGACCCTCAATGGCAGCATTGGTTGATAGTATAATTTGCTCCTTAGACGTAGAAAGGACTGTGCAAAAACTTTATACTTTGTTAGAAATGGCAAATGAACTTCTTTGAATTACTTTTCGTGAATACAGGTTGGTATATCAGTGCAGTCATACTCCAGAAATCTCACTGAAACAACAAATGCTGTGTGTATTGGTTACGTTTTTGGTGAATGTTTGACATTATGTTTGTTTCACTAATTGCTAAACCAGTATATTTGCTTAGCGCTTGCTTTTCTAAAGTGCAACAATCTCTCACAAAGGACTAATGCTGAATTCCAATTCCGAATGATGTTGATACTTCGACTCTGCCTGGATAGTGAGTTTTACCCCTGGGTCGCATCAGCTGGAAAATGGAATGAAAATGGGCAGTCGGTGTCTGGTTTTTCATATCATGTTAGGTAGTCTAAGGAGAGGCACTGTTCATGTTTTGTTGCTTGCTCAATCAAAAAGGATAGCCTGGATGTTGGACTTGGGATTAAAGAGTAAAATTTGCAAGTAAAAAGTACAAATTCTTTGCAACACCATTGTCACTTAAATAAAAATAACTGATGAACAGACTTAGCTTGTAGTTAATGGAAACAGTAAGTAGTGTTGGTGGAGGTTAGCAATCAATATAGACATCAACTTAAGGTGATTCCAGACCAGTAGTGGATACTATACCATCAGTGTTCAACTTGTGCCTTTGAGATCTGTGATGCATAAAATGCAAGTACACAGAGACGGTGATGCGGTTTGGGGGTGGTGGGGGGAGATCGCAACAGTCTATATTCATTCAGTGACCTGTTGCAAGATTTTATTTGTTTACTTAACACTATTAAATAGAGCTTTTTAAGATGATAATTTAGTGAAAATTAATCTTAAATATTTTAAATTAGACAAAGAAAAAATATGCCATTTCAGAAAGCAAGCAGTTGCTGTTTTAGTATCGGTGTTGCTACATTAGGTTCAACAAGAGTCACTCTATGGAAACTAAAATTTGATACATAGTAGTTACAATCTGCAAAATAAATAGAAGTTACAACGTGGAAACAGGCCATTTGGCCCACCCAGTCACTGTCAGATTTAGAATCTTAGAATTAGAAATTAATTTTGGATAAAATTATCAATATGGCAGAAGCAATCACACTACAGGCTGCTTAACTACTTTATTCAAGCAGAGATGTACATTCGGATAATATTCAACTGAACTTTTGGGGGTTTACTAATCCCTCAGGCAGGCTCAGTGTAAAGGGCAAACATATTTATAGTAATCCAAATCAGACTGCAATGAATGCGTTGCAAACTACTTTATGGTTTACTTATGTAACACAATTACATGAAATGTGACATGTAGATCACTTTTTCATATATATTTAAACAAAAATAAAAGCATAGACAATACTTAGATAAAATGAAAACATTTGAATTTCCCTTCAGTAATTTACCATGATGTGTTTAAAAACAAATGAGACATCACGTAGCTTGATAATTTCCCATGACCGAGTCACCAGCATGAAGCATGTAATTTAGCATGATTTAAGATGCATATCTCTGGTTATGTGTGTTGTTTCCAGATAGGTTTTCGTTTCTCTGACCTTTTCTGATACATTTTTGGCAGTGACCGTGATTATTTCGTTTTGCTCAGTATATGTGTGTCACCCAGGTTATTGCTGGCAAAGAAAGCAATATATTTAGGCAGCCTACCTAAGCTATACTGTAACCAATTGTGCCACTGGAAATACTGCAGCATATACAACATTATTGAAAAAGTGCATTTGATTACTTTAGAAGTGAAAGATGCTGACATTTTCTGCACAATTTAAGAGATTTCACAAGTATTTTTCAGCTTTTTTTTATTCTTAAGCACATTCTCACCATGGCACATAACTCTTCTACTTGAAGAGAACAGGTGAATCATTACTGGTTTCTGCCTATGGTGCTAAACAAAGAATGAATTAATGCCTCTCCTAGTA